TGGAGCACAGACTGCCTAGGTTTGAATGCAGGATCCACCAGTCATGGGACCTGGGGCAACTGCTTAACCTCTCCAGGTCTCAGGTTCTCATCTCTGAAATCAGAATAATAACATTGCCTTCCTTAAGAGGTTATCCATGTAAGGGTTTAGAACAAGCTTGTCCAGCCCACTGCCCACAGGCTGCATGTGACCCAGGATGGCTTTGAATGTGGCCTCACACAAATTCATAAACTTTCTTAAAACATAAGATTTTTTTGCAATTTTTGTAAAGCTCATCAGCTATCAATAGTGTTAGTGTATTTTATGTGTGGCCCAAGACAATTTTTCTTCTTCCAGTGTGGCCCAGGGAAGCCAAAAGATTGGACACCCCTGATTTAGAACATACAGTGTTCAGACATTCGATAATGGAAGTAGTCTATAATATTTGCTGCTATTATCATTGTTCCCACAAATCCATTCTTTCCCCTTGTCTTCCACCCTAGATTATATCAAATGCAAGCACAGCCTTCAAGTCAATCAGCTCAGCAAAGTGTTTGGTGTAAATAAAGGTTTTGCAGGACTTTATTTGGGTTCTGCTGCAGTCCCTGATATTGCAAGACTGATAAGCAGTGCTGATAAAAGGGCTGCTTTTTCCTGAAAGTGTTTCTTTTGGATTTATATTTGAAACAAGTTGAATCCTCTGAGCTCTTGCAAGGACCAGAGGTAAATCAAAGCAGCAATTTATTCCTCAAAGCCAGATGTGACCTTGCATCCCATCAGCCAGCCCATTCTCCTGGAGGGCTGTGATGAGAAGCTTTGACACTCCTGAATGTGCCTGAGGATTTATTTGTGCCTAATCATTAGCAAGGGGATGCTGGGTCTGATACAACTGATGCTGCGGAGAAGAAGGGGACGCTTATGAATCTTTCTACCTTAAGGAAATTGTGTTTTCCACCTTGTATTAGAGAGACATAAATTAAGGTGATGAAATGCCAGGGAACAGATGGGTTCTAAACCATTCTAAGGGAATTTTACAAATTTCACTTGTGTCTGGTTTTGTCTTGAGACACGAGAGTGACCTTATGTCTCTAGCCTCAGCAGATGAGAATTTACAAGGGATCTTAGGGAAGGATGAGCTAATCTCGTGCTTCTCAACACATGATCCTTGGACCAGCAGCACTGGCATTAGCTGAGAACTTGTCAGAAGTGCAGATTTTCAGGTCCCATCCCAGAAGTAATCACAAACTCCAGGAATGGGGCCCAGCAATCTGTGTTCGAACACGTTCTCCAGGTGATTCTGGTCACGCTTGAATTTGAGAACTACTCATCGAATTCATCTAATCCATGATGCCTATCCCACAGTAACATCACCTGCTGATCTTAAAAAAAAAAAAACCTACAGCCTGGATCCCACCTCTGTGCAGTCTTAGGCAGACTAGAGTGGAACTGGAGGGGTTTCTGACCTCCTCACAGTCAACACTTTGAGCTAGAGAGTTCTTTGTTGTGAGGCTGCCCTGGGCATTGTAGACTGTTCAGCAGCATCCCTGGTCTCTCTGTCCACTACAACAACAGGGCCTGTTTAGACAAACATGTCTACAGACATGGCCAGATACCTCCCTGTGAGGCAAAATTGCTCCCCTGCCCCTCCCACCCTGTTGAAAACCACTGAGCTATAGCATAAGTATTTTACAAGCACCCCAATGGTTCTAACATGCAGCCAGGACCAAAAGCCACTGACCTCATCCAACCCTGTCTTTTTAATTGTCAGGGGAAACTGCAGAGGATGAGCTTTAGTGGTTCTATAGGTAAAGGCACACTTTCCCAGACCTGTATATTTTGTTCCTGATTGGAGTCCATGCCAGTCACAGCAGGCAATCCCAGGTAGGTGAATGTGTTTTTAGGAAGCTAGTTGGCCACCTCATCAAATGAATCCCACTGCAGACTCAGAACCCAAGATGAAAACAGGACTGTTACAAGCTTCAGATACGTCCAAGGTGACAATGGCTGCCTCTTTGTTACCTAGCCCCACAAAATGGGGTTCCAGAGGGAAGCAATGGGAGGTTACTACTGTTGCCTTTCAGATATCTTCTCCCTGTGCTGAAATGTCCTGTCTCTAAGAGTCATGATCATAAGTTACTGTGCCTGGCTTGTGCTCTAACCTTTGCCATGTATGTTGCGATTATCTTTAAGCCTTCAGAGATACTATTTTTTACATGCTTCCTCTAAGCTAGGCCCTCACCAGATTCAAACCTTGTGCAATCTTTTTTTTTTTTTTTTTTTTTTGAGTCTTGCTCTGTCGCCCAGGCTGGAGTGCAATGGCGTGATCTCGGCTCACTGCAACCTCCGCCTCCCGGTGCAAGCAATTCTCCTGCCTTAGCCTCCAGAGTAGCTGAGATTATATGTGCCACCACGTCGGGCTAATTTTTGTATTTTTTGTAGAGACAGGGTTTCGCCATGTTGGCCAGGCTGGTCTCGAACTCCTGGCCTCAAGTGAGCCACCCAACTTGGCCTCCCAAAGTGCTGAGATTATAGGCGTGGGCCACTGCACCCAGCCTCCTTGTGCAATCTTGAAAACACACTCCAGAAGAGTGGGTATTATTGTCCCCACTTTACAAATGACTGAAGTAAGGCTCAAAAAGGTGAAGTGGCCTGTGATCCCCCAGTGGCCAAGTTTATTCTGATGCCAAAGCCCCTGATGTGTAACAGCACTGTACATCCTTAAGGAGCTACTCATTTTTTCCATTTTCCCAGGTGTGTCAACTGAGCCTCCGAGAGGCTAGGCAGTAGGTAGAATCATGTTGCTGACACCCCTGTTATAATATCCTTTCAGCTCTTTCCTCGGAATAAAATGGTAGCTGCAGTCATGGCCCTCGCCGCAAATGAGCCTTCCAAATGCAAGTGGGCAGCCAGACAACCTCTACATTCCCTGCATTTTGCTGGTGCCCAGAGGTGAAAACAAATGAATGCTCCATCTTTGGAGCCTCTGTGAAGACGGCAGGTGACACCTGTTCTTTCTGTATTGGCAGGTCTTGTACAGATGGAACAGACAAAGCAGCACATCTGTCATTGAAACAAATAAAACATCGGTGGAGCTTTCTTTGCCTTTCGATGAAGATTATATAATAGAAATTAAGCCATTCAGCGACGGAGGAGATGGCAGCAGCAGTGAACAAATTCGAATTCCAAAGATATCAAGTGAGAATGCCTTTTTTTCTCCTTTTCTCCTGCCTGTCTTATCTTATCAGCCTTCCAGCTGAGTCAGGGCTTGAAAGACATTCAGCCTGCAAAAGAAGACTTAAAATAAAATGGAGGACACTACCCCCCTTCTCCAGATGTTTGCTGGCCATAGGCAGTTTCATGCAAAAATCAGTTTGCCCGTGTTGACTGATCTACTCAGTTGCTAATCAAAAATCAGATTAAAGCAGACACGAATCAGTCACTAAGGTTTTTCCGTGTCAGCCCGTTTATTTTTCTATGCATCTATGTAACCCCAGAATTACAGCTTAGAAAGTTAAAAGCATGACTCAGTCAGAAGGAAGAAGGAAAAGCATTGTTAAGTATGCTGTAGCAGTTTTTCTCCAGTGAAACAGTATATGCAGTTCAATGTCTTGGAAATATTTTGAATTTACTATTTATTTTGAATGGGTATATGTAACATGTGCATCAATGTGTATGTCTCTCTATAGTCAAGATTATCTTCACTTTCAAATATTGTTGAACAGCATGTGAGAATAGCATATTCTTTTTGAGCAAATACATTCAATTCTATTTTTACAAATACCATGTTTGTAAATATCTTAGCAGCGTATTATTTTTTGTTGTTGTGTGTGATCTCATTTATTTAAAGGAAAAAAAAAACAGCCAAATCCATGGAGACAGAGTGAGGCTAGTGACTGGCAGTGGCTGGTCAGTGGGGAGTGGGGGCTTAGGTACTGGGTCTTCGTTTGGGGTGACAAAAAGGTTGAGGAGCTTGAGAGTGGTGCTGGTTGCACAACATTGGAGTATACTTAGTACCACTGAATTGTACCTTTTAAATGAGTTAAAATGCTAATTTTGTTATGTGTATTTTACAGCAATAAGAAAAGAAAGACTGCGGTTAGATGTCTAAGTGTAGATTTTCACAGGCTTTCAGATTTAGCATTCTGGAGATTAGGGGAGCATTGAAGGCTGGAGATATAAATTTTCAAGACATCGGTAAAGAGATGATATTTTAAATTATGGACAAAATCCTCACCACCATCCTGACTTTTAGTCATGTAACATCCCTCTGCTAAGGGGTGATAGGCCAGTGTTTCTGGATGGAGTTTATATTTACTGCATTTTTTTTTTTTTCATACAAACACAAAAGGCATTTTTGTCTTAAAAGCAGGGACAATTGGATTCTACACTTCATCAAACAAAGCCTCTAACTTCTGTTGAAAGGGAGCCAGATTTTTTGTGAGATGTGGAAGTAATCTCCAGGCCATGAAAATACAAGACTGGGGTTTATTTATCTCACTTCATTAAAAATCTGACTTTGTACTTCATGCTTTCTTATCATTGCAGGGATTGGTATTTTTAGGTAGACTGATGATTCCTGGTTTTATTCATTACAAAAACATATATTAAGCAATTATATTGGTGTAATTATTAGGTAACAAGGAAGTGACTGTGAGCCAAACATGATCTGTTTCAAGGAATTTTTCATTAGGTTGGTCAAAGAGATCTTACAAGATTGAAGAGCCCCCAAATGACAGTTGATAGCTTCTTACTATGAAAAATGTAAGACCCATAAGAAAATGTAAAAAGGATTGAGGCTATTTTGTTTGGAGAAAAAGGGTAGATTTAAACAGACATGGGTTTGAACCCCAGTTCAGCCATTTACTAGCTGGGTGATCTGGGCACAAATTACCACATCTGTTAAGTGAGGTAATAATAATACCTGGCCTTCATCCAGTTTTTGCAAGATTTAAGTGTCATATTCATCTGTGCCCAGCACAAAGAGTTCAAAAGGGAGTAGCAATTTTCGCAGAGTTCAAAAGGGAGTAGCAATTTTCATAGAGTTCAAAAGGGAGTAGCAATTTTCATAGAGTTCAAAAGGGAGTAGCAATTTTCATTTTGTTGCATCATTGACGTGGCATGGTATCTATCAGTACTGTTACTAGTAATATTGAAGTTTCTTCTCACATTAGATGGGAACATCCTTATTTTACAAATGCTTTGACAGAGGTACAGGGCTGTCCTCTACCCTACTCGCAGGTTCGTAGCTAGATAGTCATAGAACTGATATTTAAAAGCCATTAAGATCTTGATCATTATTTCTAGTAGAATCCATGCAGGTCTGCTGTTTCAGAAAGCCCCGTGGCCGCTCTTCCCTTTGAAGCCAGGATGGGGCTGTTTTGAGTGAATTTGTTCTCTCTTTTCAGATGCCTACGCAAGAGGATCCGGGGCTTCCACTTCGAATGCATGTACGCTGTCAGCCATCAGTACAATAATGATTTCCCTCACAGCTAGGTCCAGTTTATGACAAAAGTTATCTCAAGGACTTGCTGTTTATAATATAAGCAACATTTAGCTAGTTGTTTTGAAGACACCCAGTACTAAGTAATATTGTTGTTCAAGTACATCTTATTACTGGAATAAAAATGTTTTTTGCTTCTTTAGGAATGGCATTATACAGTACTTCCTCAAAGCAAATCTAGCTTTGTCTGAAGTTTCTTTGGAAACTCTGCAATGCACTGAAGACATCTGTAATATGATGTTACCAAAGCAGTTTACATATGTCCTTATATGCATATTTTTTATTATATATTTAGTGTTTTATAGAATTTTTTAAAGTTAACATATAATGTAGATATTACTTTTTTTCCTCAGCTGTAAAATGCTATGGACAACACAACCATGCAATTATAATTTGAAAATATTTCCTTTAAAGACAGAGTTTGAAACTCATCTTGGTAAATAAATTGCAAATTACTTGTACAGTTTTACAAGGATCTCGTGGCAGAACAGCTGAAGACTTGGTCTATAACTCAAGGCTGCTGTATGCAAATTACTCTTCTAGTGGTTAATGCATTGAATCAAGTCCTTTTGACATGTACAATATGTTTTCCCATGCCGTTGTGAATTTTGTTGTTCAATACAACTTGAGATGGTTTCAGGAATGGCTGCAATCTCAAAAGCTAAATTTACTGCCCAAGAGGCACCTTGTGCAATATTCCCATCCCTGAATTTAGCATTGTACAGTAAGATTTTCTTTTCACTCAACTAAGTTAGCATTGTCTTTGTAGTAGCACTATCTTAGACATTAAATTTGAAGTAACATATATCCTGTAGTAACATAGACCAAAAGTTACTATAGTCAACCAAGTCTTTCAAAGGATAAAAGATAATTTTATTATCTTTAACTGTATCTATTTTGAATGTAAATTTTAAAAAAAAGTAATTCTCTGTCAATGGATTCGTAATTTCTTTACAAAATTTCTTATATATAATATGTGTATCTCTGTAATAATAGAGCCCTTCTTTTGAATCAAAATTACATATGGAGTTTGGAAGATTTCTCCTATTTCAACAAATAGTTGCTGCAAGAATTTTTAATATGACTCTATAAAAGATCTTTAGTACAATGGTATGGTTTCTTGATGATTCTGTTTTGCAATAGGGAGCCTAGTTGCTTTATATACTTTACCTTCTAACTCTTAAAATCACACATTGGAAAATGACAATATCAACAAAACTGTATTCTTATGAAAAGAACTATTTGTTACAATGGGAAAGGTTTTGTAAGCAAACGCTAGTGGAACAGTTACATAAAAGGCAATGAAATTTTCTATAAACATTTTCTCATGTAAACATGCTGCCACCTTTTCTTCTTTCTCAGAGAACTCAAATTTGCTGTAATTTGTCATTTTTGCTTACAAATAATATAACTTTTCAACCTTCTACTTATATTTATCCAATAAAGTCATAATCAGGATTCCATTTGTGTAAAAACTAGGGTGGTAACCGGAAAAAAAAAATATTGTCAGTATTTCAAGCTGTGTTCCTTTCTTAGTTTGATATGGTTACTTCTATGTTAAAATAAAATAAAATTTAAAATCACATGCAAAAAAATCAACAAAATAATAAAATGAATGAAAAAAAATGACACCCAGGGAGTTCCCAACCCCAGTGTAAATGATATTTACCAGTGATCTAGCATATGTAATCTTTTTTAAAGGTATTGTTAATAAATATTCTGTCATTTGTAAAGATACTTGTCTTTTGGGAGCATTTTTCCTGCCTGCCTGTCAGGGAATTTGTTAGCTTACCTTTGTGCTAATTATAATTTGGGATCATAGAGGGACTCAGAAGTCTCTACCCAAATCTAAATGACCCAGAGCTATTCCTTTGGAATTGACAACCCTGAAGACACGATTTCAAATCCTCTTTAGAAGCAGAGAGGCTCCTAATCCACAAGTAAGTGTCTTGAAGATGAGACTTGAATATTTTCTCTTGATTAGCTAAGTCTTTTGTATATTTACTGTAAGTATATGCGTTGTTTCCCTCACCCCCCATTTCCAAAAGGATAAGTTCTAAACTTGAGCATTTAAGGCTTTTTTTTTTTTTTTTTTTTTTGAGACGGAGTCCTGCTCTGTCACCCAGGCTAGAGTGCAATGTTGCGATCTCAGCTCACTGCAACTTCCGCCTCCTGTCCTGGGTTCAAGTGATTCTCCTGCCTCGGCCTCCCGAGTAGCTGGGATTACAGGTGCCCACCACTCCACTGGGCTAATTTGTGTATTTTTAGTAGAGACGAGGTTTCACCATATTAGTCAGGCTGGTCTCAAACTCCTGACCTCAAGTGATCTGCCCGCCTTGGCCTCCCAAAGTGTTGGGATTATAGGCATGAGCCACCACACCTGGTCCTTAAGGCCCTTTTTAATCCAAAACAATTTAACTGTGCATCCAGCCACACTAAGCCCTCCCTGACCCTTGAACACTGCTTGCTTTTGGTCTCACCTCTGTGCCTTTGGTCTTATGGCTGCTCCTTCCTGAAATTCCCTCTCCACCCTTCTCTCCCATCCACATCCCAGCTGTCCTACAGTAGCTCCAGCCCCAGTTTGTCTGCAAAGCCTTCCCATGTTTCAGTCCTTTATGACATTCTTCCTCGGAATTAGCTGCAACCCCTATCAATGCCGCTCATTTAGTAATTAATCAGATACTACTTTTGGAAATCTCTTGTACTGTTATCTTGCATTTTAATTTAACTCCTGTATTGTTACTTACTTTTCTTGTATGTATGCCTTGTCTTTCCAACTAGATTGTAAGCTCCTTGAGGGCAGGGACTTTGGTCTTATCTTCCATGTACTCTCCATAGTGCCTAGCACAGTGCCTTGCAATAAATACTCACTGATTAATTGAATGAAGGGGTCTTTGAAGTAGCATTTTGCATCAGTTGCCTGCCTGTGTGCCATAGCAAACCAACCAGGGAAGACTGTGTCATTACTTTCATGATACTCTGAAAAGCGTTAAAAGGCCTGGCTTCTAACATTGTGCCTGGAAGAAGTATTTGACCAATCGGCTTCATCATCGGGTAAATGAGGTCCTGGATTAGTTGAATCTAACTGAGCTGAAGATGTTTTAGAAAGTGCCCCATAAGCACCTCCATCCAAGCTTGTCTCATTTTTTGGCTTTCATGGTTGCCTCAGGTAGGGTCCACTGGTTGTAAGCAAAGAAATAACTCTGGGTAACTTGAGCAAACAAAAAGTAAGGAATTAGAATGACACAGGTTAGATCACATGAGCCAAGGAGACACTGAAGGACCAAGTCTTGAGGAGAATAAGAACCAGGCCACTCTGCAGGTGCAGACAGTGGGGACTTTGGAAAGTCTTTCTGGGGTGCTATTGTGGGGATGAATCAGCTTTGTTTCCAATTTTGATGCCATTATGCTAAATATTCAGATTCCTGGGAAAGTGATCAGTTCCATTTGAGTTGCACAGCCAGAGTACCTTGATCAGACTAAGCCTGTACTCATAGGGGAGGGATAGTTAAAGGAAAATTAAGTTGCTGTTTTCCAAAGGTAAGAGAAGAAATGCTGGGTTGGTATAAGTAACAGATTTTCCATGCTTAGCCAGCCAAGGGGACTTTCTTTGGCCCTTAGCCCGAGTAATACACTCGAGTGGAATGAATATATTACTGCTTGAGATTTTTTTCTGAAGGAGGAGCACTAGGAAAATTTGCTTTGCTTGTTTAACCTTTCCAAGTGCCTACTCTTACCCTCTTTCTTGTGTGTGGAATCCACTTGTGATTTAACTGTATGAAAAGAAATTCTATTCTGCCAGATACTTGGATTCTCTCAGTGTACCTACTTTCTGTGGAGCCCACACATGCTACATACAAAGCAGCACCTTTCCATGGGCACAGAAGACATGGATGATAAGCTTCATTTCTCAGGTAAACTCTTAATTCTTCCAGCCTGTGAGGTGGGAGGTACATAGGCTTTGATATTAAGATAAAATGATTGTGTTATTCCCAACATCAAGATTGTGGTTGTTTATATCCAAGAGGCAATGTTAAATCCTGATTAACCTTTTCCCAGTCTCTTCCACCACCTTGCCTCACTACGAATATGCCAAAGAATGTTGTTATAAAAAGTATACAAATAGCACATAATTAGCAACAAAAATGTCATGCAGTTTTTAAAGCAATCTAATGTAATCAACCAACAGGTGATTTTTGTTCACTACATTGGATTATCGATGCTACTGTTCTCCTCCATTAACACTTATAATCAAGAAGTGACTGTTATTTTCCTGTTGTTATAATTAGCAAAATGTTCTGGCTAAAAACGTTATGTGGCCAACCATAGTGATTTGAAAGGCAAGCCTTTAAAATCAAGGACTTATTATCAATCTGTGGACATACCCCAGATTTTTCCATTACAAAATGCCAGACGCTGAGGCCTTACAAAGGCAACCTAATACAGAGACTTAAGAATGTGGATCCTGGAGTTTGACTGCCTGGGGTGCATTGTAACGATTTGCTACTTATTAGGGAGGACAAAGTTTGTAAAACTCTAAATGCCTGGCTCTCCAAACAGTGATGATTTTATCATCCGTTATTGTTCCTCTTCTCAAAGGACTTTACCAGAACCCCAGATGTAGGATGTGGATGCTTCTCGTCACCAAAATGAGTAGAACTCAGCTGGCATATTCATTATCACCTTTTATTTAAACATGATCATTTCTTAATATAAATTTTAATATTCGATAATTTTAATCATACAATCAACTAATTCAAACTTAGGCAGTAGGGTTCCCATTCAGATGCCAGGTTTTGCATAAAGCTTCCCTCAGCTTCCCCATCTGGAACTGACCTCGCATTTCTCCGACCTCCAGGGGATGGGGTCAGTACTCATTCATGTCAGTCATCCCTTTGAACCTTGTATTTAAATCATTTTTGTTGGTGTCTTCCCACTTATAGTAGACACAGAGCACCTCAGCGTTGGCATCTGGTATGATTCCCCATTGTGCTCCCGGGCACCAGGCCTGTGTTGCCCCCATCTCAGACCTAGAGGGAGAAGAATATCTGGCCCCATTTCCTGTGACTTCCTCAGGCCCCCTGCCAGAGTGTGATTACTAAATGCAAGTCAGGCTGCCCATTCTGCAGAGGCCTCTTTCATGGCCCTTTTAAATGGGCCATGCAGATTAAATGTTCCAGCTCTGCAACTCAACTGTAAACTACAATACTCAACAGAGATCGCAGTTTAAATGAAATTGGCCTCTATCCTTTATCACCAGCAGTTATGGACTGTGGTAGATTAGCAGAGCTCTAATGATATAGATCACATAGAGAGAAAGCTTTTTTTAAAAAAGGTCAACCATATGATCGATCTGAAAGTCTCGAAATTGGAAGGCTGAGCTACTTAAATATAGATGCAATTACATGTGATATCGCCATTCTCTGTAAACTGGATTTTTGCCACATATCCTTATTTATTGTTATGAATAACACAGACTATATCAGGAAATATATATGTCTTAGGACTTTAACAAATAGTCATATCTTTAATTTGTTTTTCTAGTTTTCAAAGGGCTTTTCACACTAATAAGGAGGAAGACACAGGTTTTTATTCCTTTTTTATTTACAAAATGGGAGCAAAGAGGTTATATAGAAGCCCAAAGTAACATAGACAATTAGAAAGTCAGGGCTGGGCATGGTGGCTCACACCTATAATCCCAGCACTTTGGGAGGCCGAGGTGGGGGGATCACAAGGTCAAGAGTTCGAGACCAGCCTGGCCAACATGGTGAAACCCAGTTTCTACTAAAAATACAAAAATTAGTGGGGTATGGTGGTGCATGCTTATAGCCCCAGTTACTCGAGAGGCTGAGGCAGGAAGATTACTTGAACTCAGGAGGTAGAGGTTGTAGTGAGCTGAGATTGCCCCACTGCACTCTAGCCTGGGCAACAGAGCAAGACTCTGTCTCAAAAAAAAAAAAAAAAGAATTTAGAACTTAAACTCGTAAGTTAATGCATTTCATACACCTAGAAATAAGTACTTAGAGAAAGGACAGGGTGGAGTAAGGAACTAGACTTTGAAGTTCAACTAGAGAACGTTATAGAACAAATAGATAGGCCAGAGGAAATGGTGAGGTAGAAGGGTGAGATGTCTGAGGTTCAGATGCTGGAGGTGGAGAAGTTCTGAGGTTCGAGTGCTGGCCAGGCCCAGGGCACAGCCATCTGGAGGAATGGGATAGGATAGGTCCCTGAGAGGGTTTTAGTTATTCAGCAAGGGACTATTGGCAGCCCTCTCTGTACCAGGCACTATTCTGGGCACAGAAGAATGATGTGGCATTCAGATGTGTGTGAGGTAGCCAAGGCATCAGTAACAGTATTTTGTCACAATACAGAGAAATGCAATGATAATAATAATAGTAAACAGTGATTATGCTTATAATATGTGCCAGTCTCAGTGCAAATCAACCTACTGATTTAGTTACCATTTATTATTCCTATTTTATACACAGAGAATTGAGGTTGAGAGGTTCACATTGTCCCTGATCACACAGTTGATCAGAGAGGTCAGGAATTGGAATGCTGGTGGCTTGGGTTTAGGGCCTACTCCAAAACATTAGATGTCTCTATCTGTAAATAGATGACATATAAACAATAAGGTAGATTGGTAGATAAATAGACAGATAGATACCGGTTCCCATAAGCAACAAGAAGGAAAGGCAGTCATTAGCTTCAGGCTCAAGTGGGATGATTTCTCTG